CAATCCACAAATATTTATTGATATAATCCATAGTTGATGGTTCAGAAGAATTATTTTGGAAATGTATGTAGTAATTTTATTGTAATAGATTCTAATGTAATGGGTTTAATTTGTTCTTCACACATTCAGCTATACTGTATCAGCTAGCTATGTTGCTGCATAACAAACTACCCCAAAACTCAGTCACTCAGTTGTTTGTCATTATCATAGTCCACGTGTCTGTTTCTGTGTGGGGGCCAGCAGAGTGGTTCTGCTAGTTTCAGCTAGATTCACTGGCGTCTCTAAGGTCAGCTGATAGTTGGCTGGTCTTGGCTAAGGTCCTCTAAGGGGGACTGCTGTATGTGGCTGTCATCCTTCTCCTGAGATCCGTAGATTACCCTAGCTCATTCCTCTCATGCTGATGGCAATGTTCCATCCTGCAAGCACATTCCAAAACTCTACTTGGATCACTAAGCTCTCATATCAATGGCCACATCAAGCCACTGGGCCAAGCTATGGATGGAGATCAGCCCATGGTGGGAGGACCCTGCAAAATGCTAAAGCAGAAGTCTTGGATGGAGGGAGGAGGAAGATCTGGAGCCAGGAATGCAAGTTATTTACATAATAAAGGACTCATTGACTCTCACTGAGTCAAGGGCTTCTAAATGGCCCCTTGGGCAATTAGAGCCTCTATCCATTAATTACCAGCCTAAGGCATGAAGTAGAGCAGGCTACGTCCCTGTGTGTTCATCCAAAGACAGTAGTGTTCCAAGATTGGAAATCTAGAAGTACTATAAAATTTAAAGAAAAAGAAGAAAAAGTCATTCATGTTCTGAATGATTATCCAGAGATGCTTACTATTTGGCATATTTCTTTTGATTCTTTTATCACTTTCTTCTTTAATAGTATTTAAATTTATATCTAGAGTTTTGGTCCTAATGTTTCATTATAAGCCTTTCATTTGTCATTAAAAATACCTTATACATGTAATATTAATGTCGGCATAAATATTCCATTGTATGGATGCACTGTAATTGACTTAACCTTTCTCTTGCTTTTTAATGTTTTGGTTATTTCCAGTATTTTGTGATTATAAACAATGCCATAGTGAGCATTATGTATGCATAATGTTTATCCACATACAAAGTTTTCTTGTTAATGGGAAGATTACTGGCCATAGTGCAGAGATCTGGGTTCTGCTTCTAAGTTGCCGTGTGACCTAGGCCTGGGTGTCATGTTCCTCATCCAGAAATGATAGGCTGGGTATGGTGGCTCAAGCCTATAATCCCAGCACTTTGGGAGGCTGAGGCGGGTGGATCACCTGAGGTCAGGAGTTCAAGACCAGCCTGGCCAACATGGTGAAAACCTGTTTCTACTAAAAATACAAAAATTAGCCAGGCATGGTGGCACACGCCTATAATCTCAGCTACTTGGGAGGCTGAGGCAAAAGAATCACTTGAACCCAGGAGGTGGAGATTGCAGTGAGCAGAGATCGCACTACTGCACTCCAGCCTGGGAGATGGAGAGAGACTCCATCTCAAAAAAAAAAAAAAAAAATAGTATCTTTGAGCTTGATGGTCTTAAACCCCTTTCTAACTCTAAAGCATCTTTCAGGATCAAGGACTAAATTGCTGTACTGGAGTGGAAGCATGAAAGCAGCACCAGCTGTTTGTCCTCAAAAAAGCTCAGGGGAGGAGAAGCCGCTTCCTTGGGTTTACTCTTGAAAATGTATAGTTGTCCTTGAGAGAGAAGGTTTCCTTTTACAGTTCAAGTACCATCACTTGCCCTGTGCTTTCCATTCCCTGAGGCAGCAGTGGTGATATTTGTACTGTTGTAAAGAGGGCTATGGGACACACTGGGCATTAAGAATATCGACGGTCCTGACCTCGTTTTACGAATGTGCATGCTTTGAGAATGGCCTCACTAGACTGGAAGAACTGATCCTATCACCCATCTTCATTTTGTCTTATAATTTTGTAATCACTTTTTGTTTTACTTTGCCTTTTGTTTGCCTTGTGAATTAAGTTTCATCACAGTCACCTTCACTGCATAGACGGGGGATCTGGTCTTATCTCACAATTTCCTGGACATTGCGTGTACCCTTTTTCTCAGGGATGCTTCCTTACCATCCACTTCAGCCTGTACTGACGCTATATTTCATCTTACCATCAACTTTCTGCCAGCCTCTGCCAGGGATAAATACTGCTCAGTGTGGGCAGGCTTTAAGTGTTGACTTCAAAAAGCAGAAGTATAAGCCGTGCACGGTGGCTCATGCCTGTAATCCCAGCACTTTGGGAGGCAGAGATTGGCCGATCACCTGAGGCCAGGAGTTCAAGACCAGCCTGGCCAACATGGTGAAACCCTGTCTCTACTAAAAACACAAAAATTAGCTGGGTGTCATGGCGGGCACTTGTAATTCCAGCTACTCGGGAGGCTGAGGCAGGAGAATCGCTTGAATCTGGGAGGTGGAGGTTGCAGGGAGCCAAGATCACACCAGTGCACTCCAACCTGGGCAACAGAGCAAGACCCTGTCCCCAAAACAAAAAACAAAACAAGCAAAAGCATCACCATGTCATTGCTGAATGGAGGAAATGGGATCTATGCTGTCTCTGTCTCTCCAGCCCTTCCCTGACTATCCTAAGTGGGTGTTCTTTGCAGCAGACAGTGTCTTCTAGTTCCTAAATTCCCTTGGGGAGAAGCAACAGAATCTTTTGGCTCGTGGTTTAGTTGCTTCTTCTCTGGGCTGAGCTGGGGCGCCGTCTGAGTCCAGTGCAGAGTGGTTTCCCTCCTCTGGCTGCCATCAGAGGGTCCTTTGTTCCTGCGCCCTCCCCCTTCACCAAGATGTGGCCCACACCCCATGAAGGATGGAAATCCCGGTCACACCACAGCACTCAGCAGCCCCACTCTAAAAGCAAAACATCTTCCACCAACAGAAGGCCTGCTCATCCCGTCTTTATTTCACCTCGGGAAATAAATTGGGGCTGGGGTAACTCCTCAGTGATAATTGGATTTAGGGGGGTAATCGTTTGCCTTGAATATGAACCCGTTTTGTGCTTGAAGGAAGTTGCTTATGAAACGTAATTTTAATAATCATGGATTTTACTTCTTAGTTTCTGTGTCTGCCCTTCCCTTCCTCCTAGCGGCTCTGAATGATTGTACTTTTTCCTAAGAAAACTGGAGTCACATTCTTGAATGTAAAATAAATTTATAATGTGAATGACTTTGCTCCCCTGACAGTCATGGGTCACTAAGAATGTGAAATGTGGTGTGTGTGTTTAAGCATTTTGATAAAGCAAAGGAGCATGTCTTTGCTTTGAGTTTCATTTTGGTAAAACTGGTGTCAACCAAGGAATGTGGACTTTGGCTTGCTTTGTCTTGTTCTGTGGCTGTTTCCGCCCCCCTCGTCTTTTCCTTTCTTTCCCTTCTCCCTGCTTTTCAAGGGCAGTGCTGAGACATGAGCTCCAAAGCAATTTGTTAAGAAATACAGGGTACCATGGCTGGGCACGGTGGCTCATGCCTGTAATTCCTGCACTTCGGGAGACCGAGGCAGGCAGATCATGAGGTCAGGAGATTGAGATCATCCTGGCTAAATTAAACCTCATCTCTACTAAAAAAAATACAAAAAATTAGCCAGGTGTGGTGGTGTGCGCCTATAGTCCCAGCTACTCCGGAGGCTGAGGCAGGAGAATCACTTGAACCTGGGAGGTGGAGGTTGCGGTGATCCGAAATTGCGCCACTGCGCTCCAGCTTGAGCGACAGAGTGAGACTCTGTCTCAAAAAATAAAACCAAAAAACAGGGTACTACTTAGACTCTGAGAAGAATGTACATTAGGTGACAGAGGCACTCTGTCTGTTCAGTCTTGTCTCTCAGTTGTCATCTAGCCCCAGGCCTGGTGATAATCAGGAAAGTTAAGACAAGACCCCACTGTTTTCACCCAAAGAGTATTTAGTACATTTCAGCAAAGGGCAGATGGTTATTACAAACCAAAGTCTCCCAAAGGGCTGAGCAGAGTTTTTGGAAGTCTAAGTTAGGTTTAAGGCCTGATGGGATCACAGTGAAAACAGAAGAGAACCAAAAAAATGGAGTGAAAAAATATCAAAAAACCAAATAACTTTCCTTTGGGGAGAAAGAGAGAGAGACCTACTCACCATGCTCACATTCTCTCCTGTTGGTTATCAACCATCTCCTTGCTTCTCTCTCTCTCTCTCTCTCTCTCTCCCCCCCTCTCCCCCCCCCTCCCCCCTCCCCTTCCCTCCCTCTTTCTCCCCTTCCCTCCCCTCCCTTCCCCTCTCCTCGCCTCCTCTCCTCTCCCTTCCTTTTCTCTCTCTTTCTTTCTTGACAGGGTCTCACTCTGTTGCCCAGGCTCTGGAGTACATTTACATGATCAGAGCTCACTGAAGCCTCGACTTCCTGGCTCTAGCAATCCTCCTGCCTCAGCCTCCCAAGTAGCTGGGACCACAGACACTCACCATTGCACCTAGCTCATTAAAAAAAAATTTTTTTTTTGTAGAGACAGGGTCTTGCACTGTAGCCCAGGCTGGTGCTGAACTCCTGGGCTCAAGTAATCCTCTTGCCTTGGCCTCCGAAAGTGCTGGGATTATTGGCGCCAGCCACTGTGCCTGGCTGTTTTTTCCTTTCATGTTTTTAAATGTGCTTATTTATTTATTTTTGAATAGATAACACATTTACTCGATTTGACAACCAAAAAGACTAGCTCATTGCACGTTCAAAATCCTCCCTCCTATTCTATTCCCCATCAACCTGGATTTCTTCCTGCTTTTCCCAGAAGCCGAGCTTCTTTCTTTTGAGTGGATTCCTTCCAGAGTTTCTTTAGGCATGCTCACATGCAAACGAATACAAGTATGGATTCTTACTTTGCTGTTCGTATCTCTCGACCTTTTATTCCACTCTCAATCATCCTTCACTGAGCCTTTTGGGGGAGAAAGACCAGTGGTTGCTTGCTTTGCTTATGCCTGATGCCCTGAACAAGTTCACACGTGTGCTCATCTTTTTCCTGCAGACGAGGTGGAAAGTGAGAAGTGGTACCTGTCTACAGACTTCCCTTCAACAACCATCAAGACAGAGCCCATTACAGATGAACCACCCCCTGGACTCGTTCCATCTGTCACTCTGACCATCACAGCCATCTCCACCCCATTTGAAAAGGAGGAACCCCCTCTGGAAATGAATTCTGGGGTATGCTCAATTTTCTTCTGTATAAACAGGTTGGATTAAAAGATATGAATTCTCATTCTCCAATAAGGTGTTTAATCTTTTTGGAGTTAGTGGCTGTGCACATTTAAGGACATACGACTTTGTGTGTGTATATATACGTATGTAGACATTTAATAAGGGTATGTGGATTTGGTGCCAGCTTCCTTGAAAGCAGTAGCTAAGCTAATTTCGTTCCCTCTTTGATTACTGTTACAAAATTAAAAAAACACAGAAAATATCTATGGTTAAAAAAAAAAAGATTTTCCATGGCACTGATTTTTTAAGCAGCAGAAAGGGAGTGATGGAGGTGATGAGACAATCCATGGCTTAGAGTACGTGGCCGCTGGGAATGTGAGCTCTGTGTAATATTTTACTTTCATAGTGAGATGCTGAGTTGTCCTTACTCAAGTCAGGAACATCCCGCCTATTGCTTCATTTAATATGAATAATATTAACAATATTAATAACATTACAACAATATGAATAATATTACTAGTAATAATATCACTTATTATTGTGTTACCCATGGAACGCATAAGAAATAAGGATTTCTCCTTACTAGATTCCATGCCTACCGCAAGTAGAATTTAATTCTACTCTACCTTCTTTCTGGGTATTTCCAGTGTCTGGCCACAGACCAGCATCATATTTGTACCTCTTCTTACAAGTGTTGGAAGCCTGTCTTGGCTCTCCTTAAGCTCAAAGCCTCAGGTTATAAACAATACTTCATTAATATTCCTTAGTCAGATTTGTTGTGAGCAAGATATAGTGTCTACCTGTAGCCAGGCGCGGTGGCTCACGCCTGTGATCCCAGCACTTTGGGAGGCGGAAGCTGCAGTAAGCCGAAATCACGCCACCACACTCCAGCCTGGGCAGCAAAACAAGATTCTGTCTCAAAAAAAAAAAAAAAAAAAAGGGTCTGCCTGTTCAGAATAAGGTAACACAGACGCAGTAGAGTCATAAAAGTGTCACTACATACATACTCACCTCTTAGTCCATCTGTGTAGATGATGAAGCGTTGTAGACAGAGGCCTCTGCAGCTGTGCTAGGATTCCTTTCTCAGTAGCTATTTAAGTCTCTTTATTGAGTTGGGCTCCCTGGGTCTATATTACTCTCCTTGTTCAACGGAATTTTCATTATTTTATTTATTTATTACTTTTTTATTTTTTCAGACAGAGTCCCACTCTGTTGCCAGGCTGGAGTGCATGGCATGATCTCGGCTCACTGCAACCTCTGCCTCCCGCGTTCAAGCGGTTCTGTGCCTCAGCCTCCTGAGTGGCTGGGATTACAGGCGCGGCCTCTAGGCCTGGCTAATTTTTGTATTTTTAGTAGAGATGGGGTTTTACCATGTGGGCCAGGCTGGTCTTGAACTCCAGACCTCAAGTGATCCACCCACCTCGGCCTCCCAAAGTGTTGGGACTACAGGCATGAGCCACCGCACTTGGCCTGGTTGAGTTATTGTAAAGTATGTAACTAGCAAAGCTCAGAGGCATGGCCTTGTCCCTGTGTATGGCCCAGATAACTCTTCTCCTTTCCCTACCAGACATCTTATGATTAGATGTCATCAGTCATTAGGGAGCCTGGAGAGAAAGGATGTGGCTTGGTGCACAGTCCCTACCCCAGGGCAAGCTGGTGGAGGCCTGAGACTCTTTCAAAATGTACAGAATATTTTGTAGTAAAATGCGTTTATATTACCACGAAAACATAGAATATTGATATACTCTTGGGCATGAGCATTTGGCTTTCAGCTTTAGAGTTCTGAGCGTCCTTTTCTTTTTCTTTCTTTTTTTTAAGATAGGATCTCACTCTGTTACCTAGACTGGAGTAATGGTATGATCATAGCTTGCTGCAGCCTCAAATTCCTGGGCTCAAGTGATTCTCCCGCTTCAGCCTCCCAAGTAGCTGGGACTGCAGCTGCATGCCATCACACCTGGCTAATTTTTGTGTTTTTTGGGGAGACGGTGTCTCAGTGTGTTACCCAGGGTGGTCTCAAGTAAGCTCTGAGGGTCCTGTCAGCTGTAATGTCAAGTTTGACATGAGAAAAAGGTTAAGAACTAAAATGACTCCCTGTCAGGGGAGCTGGCTACACTCGGCCATTCCCCAGAGTAGGCAGGTTGTCCTGAGAGGAAGACAGAGTGACAAATAGCTCTCCTGAGTGGGTCTTCAAGGCTGTTACTGTTTTTTAAAAACTGTGTTTGAAATTCTTCCTCTAGGTTGATTCCTCGTGCCAGACCATTATTCCTAAAATTAAGCTGGAGCCTCACGAAGTGGATCAGTTTCTAAACTTCTCTCCTAAAGAAGGTCTGTGTGCCCTCCCTGTGTCCCTTTGGGTAATGGATATGGTCTCTGAGCTACAGAAAGAGGGCATAAGGCAAGAGAGCTGAGATGAGTTTGTATCACAGGTGTAGCTGGCTTTATGAAACAGCTCTGTTCTTAAAAACAAAAAATTTTGCTTCTAAATAAAAATTTTGAAAGCTAAATATAATTTCCCCATATATGCACTTGATTAATTTCCAGCTAAGCATTACCCTACTTTTACTTCTAGCCAGGGTGATTTTTTTTCAAAACCTTTAGGGACTGCTGCTACAAACACTCTCAAGCAAGAGAACCACAGCCCTTATTTATCCAGGGGCGAACCCTATATAGCACCACAAATAAACAACAATCCACAAAGGCACCTTGCTTGTTTAAAACAACTCTCGTTTCAACTCTTTGTGAAGTAAATTTACAGTTAATTATGTGGCCAATTCATTGTTTGTGAACATTGACTTTGGGTGACAACTGTTGCAGGGAGTCCCTATCTGTTTGGTCGTGTTCGTGGCTTACAATTGTGCATCTTTTTGGGCTTCTTGACATCCATCCATTTAGAATTAACTAATGTCATACTTGAGCTTGTCATACTGTTTTTTTTTTTTGGTTTGGTTTTTTGAGATGGAGTCTCACTCTGTTGCCCAGGCTGGAGTGCAGTGGCACGATCTTGGCTCACTGCAACCTCTGCCTCCCGGGTTCAAGCAATTCTCATGTCTTAACCTCCTGAGTAGCTGGGATTATAGGCGCATGCCACCACACCCAGCTAATTTTGGTATTTTTAGTAGAGACGGGGTTTCGCCACGTTGGTCAGGCTGGTCTTGAACTCCCAGCCTTAGGCAATCCGCCCACCTTGGCCTCCCAAAATGCTGGGATTATAGGCCTAAGCCACCGCATCTGGCCAAGGTTGTCATACTTCTACATTTCTCTTTCTCTATATCAGTTTCTTTCTGAGTTTCTCCCTTTGTTCTCCTGTGAAGCTCATAGTTTAGAATCCTGGATGCAGACTCCTGAGCATCATAAAGTCTGTTGAAGCTCTCTGCCTTGTTTATGCAGATTCTCCTGGATAGATACTGCTCTTCTCACTTCTGTGCCTTTATTCATGCCATCACTTCCCTTTTCATTCATACTTTTTATTTACTCACTTATTGTTTTTTTGAAACAGGGTCTCACTCTGTTGCCCAGGCTAGAGTGTAGTAGTGCAATCATAGCTCACTTCAACCTCAGAAGCTTCAGCGATCCTCCCACCTCACCCTTCCAAGTAGCTGGGACTACAGGCATGCACCACCATGCCCAGCTGAATTTTGTATTTTTTATAGAGCTAGGGTTTCACCACGTTGCCCAGACTGGTCTCAAACTCCTGAGCTCAAGTGATTCTCCCCTGTTGGCCTCCAAAAGTGCTAGGATTATAGGCATGTGCCACCTCACCTGGTCCCACTCATATTTCGGTACAAATTTCAAAGTACAGTTCATTACTCTGGTCAACAAATAATAAATTGGCATATACAGTTGCCACCAAAAAGCTGTATGTGCTACAGTATATAAATATGAGGATGTAACATATGAGTACTTCTCATGAAAATATCATCTGCCTTCATTCCATTGCAAACTAACTGGATTTGATTTGTAACGGTGTAATCAGGGTTGGCCCTTTTTTTACCTTTATTATCAACAAAGAAAGGATTAAATTTTAAAAGTTAATAGTACTGACTAGAATCCATATTGAGACACTATTCGTTGCACTGAGTGACAGACAGTAGTGCCTTTCAGCTTCATATACTGCTTCAAAGTAATTGCTTTCATTTGTGTAATGCCGGTTATGACTATCAAAGGCATCTTGCTCTTTTAATTTATGCTGTGATGTGGTTCCGAAGTGTCATCACCATCACAATGAATCCTGTAGTGGCTTCTGAATCCGGGGTCACTGGAGGAGAAATGTTTCAAGAATAAAGTAAAGGGCAGCCCTTCCTCATTATCCTGGATAAACAGAGATAAGGAAATTCAATATCCTCGACCACATCAGTTTCTAGGCAAAGTGGCTTGTTGTCCCCAGACCTTGCAGTAACCCAAGAGCAGCATTTCAAATGATATTTAGAAATCTGATCCTGAGGCGCCTCTGACCAGATCTGTAGCTCTTAATAGGTAGGAAAGACAAGATTTAAGTTGCTTCACCTGCTTTTCTTGTCATTCTCTTTCTGTCTTTTGTGGGGTGCCCTCTGCTTGGACAGGAGAACAGTATTAGAATAATTCGGCCCCTACCAAGTGAAAGGGACAGGGTGGTTCTAGGTACTCTGGGTTGGTTCTTGGGAACATAACAGTACAGAGCCCCTATTAGGTTCGTCTGCTTCCCGTTTTATTTATTTATTTATAATTAAAACCATGAAGTGCCGTAATATTCATGACATTAGGGGAACCTTGATTAACACTCTTAGGACTCCTAACCCTACTTCTTAGCCAAGCACCTGCCTATTTAAGGCACATGCTTTCCTTCTTGGGCCGCCTGCACCTGTGGCAGGAGTAGTGGGAATAGCACGTCTAGGATTATTTTAGTGTATTCTTTAGCTTTATGAGTGCCCATAGAGAATAAAAAGCCCAGGGACCTCTTTGGCAAGACTGGCAGAGAAAAAGGGAAAGAAGAAACATCGAGAGAAAAGTAGTATGTGGCACAAAGAGAAAGAAAGGGTGGGAGAGAGACAGGGAATGACAATGAGAGAAAAAGAGAAGAAAGAAAAGCATGCCATGGATGGGGGCACCAGGGTTGGCTGAGGGGGCATCGCCTATGGTGGCCTCGGCTATTCAGGTATTCCTGCAGGAGAGAGCTGCTGACTGCTGCTCGTCCTCTCCGAGGGCAGTATTAGCCCGTTTTCACACTGCTGCTAAAGACATACCCGAGACTGGGTGATCTATAAAGAAAAAGTGGTTTAATGGACTCACAGTTCCACGTGGATAGGGAGGCCTCACAATCATGGCAGAAGGTGAAAGGCACATTTTACAAGGCAGCAGGCAAGAGAGAAAATCAGAACCAAGCAAAGGGGGTTTCCCCTTGTAAAATCATCAGATCTCATGAGGCTTATTCACTACAAGAACAGTATGGGGGAAACCATTCCCATGATTCAGTGATCTACCATTGGGTCCCTCCCACAACACAAAGGAATTCTGGGAGCTACAATTCAAGATGAGCTTTGGGTAGGGACATAGCCAAACCATATCAGGCAGCTATGGGTGAGGTCATTTTTCTTGGGTCAGTTGTGTCTCAGGAGGACCCTTCCCATCCATAGTACCTTGGGCGGTCTCCATCAGAAGAAGGGACAAGGAGGTGAAGCGCTGAAGCTTCCTTTGACCTTCAGCAGTTAGCTTCCTGGCTGAGCAGACCCAGTTGTGTGTGAAGTAGCCTGGAGCCATGCTCACCATGGAGCTTCCCTACAGAGGGCTCCGTTGTCCTGGGGGCCCCAGGAATGAAGTGTTTACCTGCCATTATCTCCCTTGGCTCAGTAGCAGTGTCTGGTACAACAGAAATTTGCACTGTTCAGAAAGAGCAGTGAGACCTGACAGTGTGTTTGTTCACGAGGAGGCCTTGAGTGGGATTCCTCCTTCACAAGCCCATCTCTGCTGCCCTGGAGATGCCCGATGGATGCCAACTAAGGCTCCATAGGCCCTGGCAGAGAGGGTGTTGTACCTTTCTGAGGAAGGGTGAGGGATACTTTGGAGGAGAGAGTCCCCCCACTGCACTCCCACTTATTTTTCCTGTGACCACTTCCCTATCTGAAGATGGGTTTCATGTTTTCTGAATGAAGAATTCCTGGCATCTTGTCTGTGGGCCTGACCATGCACATTGCTCCAGAAACAAACCAACTTTTTTCAAAACAGCCACTGGGAACCCCCATGGGTCCCCATGCTTTGCTATCAAAAAAAAAAAAAGAAACTTTAAAAAGTGCATAATACATTAGCATGATTTAGAAATCAAACTATGTAAACTATCTCAAAATAATACAGTGAAAAGTTTTATCAACACCCTGTTGCAGTCTACCCTGATTTCTCCCTGCCCACCTCAGGTTGCACTGTTTTATTTTATTTTATTCTATTTATTTATTTTTTATTTTTATTTTATTTTTTGAGATGGAGTCTCACTCTGTCACCCAGGCTGGAATGCAGTGGAGCAATCTCGGCTCGCTGTAACCTCTACCTCCTGGGTTTAAGCTATTCTCCTGCCTCAGCCTCCCAAGTAGCTGGGACTACAGGTGTGCGCCACCATGCCTGGCTAATTTTTGTATTTTTAGTAGAGATGGGGTTTCGCCATGTTGATCAGTCTGGTCACATACTCCTGACCTCAGGTGATCTGCCTGCCTCGGCCTTCTAAAGCGCTGGGATTACAGGCGTGAGCACCGCGCCCAACCCCTGGCTGCACTTTTATTGGTTTCTTGGATACACTTTCAGTGTTTCTTTTTGCCATAACAAGCAAATGTGAGTCTATATCCTCTTTCTCTCCTTTTTCATACAAAAGGAGGACTCCCATATCCACCCTCTGCACCATCTGCTCATGGAGGCTCCTCGCGCTTTAGTTCGCTTTTGCACAAGTCAGTTGTGTCCTGGTTTGTGGCTGTGGGATGCATGAGATGTGCTTCCTTTTTTTCAGCCCCAGTGGATCACCTGCATTTGCCGCCCACCCCGCCAAGCAGTCACGGCAGCGACTCGGAAGGCAGCCTGAGTCCCAACCCATGCCTGCACCCCTTCAGCCTGCCTCAAACCCACAGCCCCTCCAGAGCCACACCCCGGGCCCCCTCCGCCCTCTCCAGCTCCCCTCTCCTCACGGCTCCTCATGTAAGTATGCATGGGCGCTCCCAGACCAAAGGGAACCCTCTCCATTTATTCCCATGGGGCTTTATCCAGAGCAGGACCATGCAAGGCTGCTTGTTTTTCTTTACTTTCGTCAAGAAGTTTCTGTTTAATGGCGAAAGTCATGATATGGTCAAGAGTGATGTCAGCCCTAAAGAAACTTTTTTTTTTCATTTTTTTTAATTGCATTTTAGGTTTTGGGGTACATGTGAAGAACATGCAATATTGTTGCATAGGTACACACATGGCAGTGTGATTTGCTGCCTTCCCCCCATCACCTATATCTGGCATTTCTCCCCATGCTACCTCTCCCCAACTCCCCACCCCCGCCATCCCTCCCCTATTTCCCCCCGACAGACCCCAGTGTGTGATGCTCCCCTCCCTGTGTCCACAGGTGGGTGTTGAACAATAAGAAACTTTTTAAGAACTGTCCATACTGCTCACCTTGCTACCATCATTCTCTTGGTTTTCACATGTACTCTTCCAGTTTTTATTCATATGTTTATTTTACAGAACTGTAGACATGAGGAATACAAATTTTGGGTTTTTCTCCTCAAAGTTCTGTCATAAATATTTGCATTTATTTGATGGTCCTTGTGGCCTATGTCATAGTAAATGCCTTTTATGTTTTAAATAAGCAATTTTTGGTGAATTAAAATTTACTCTGAGATTAAATTCTTTGATGCCTAGAGGTCAAAAACAGTTTAAGCCTTTTTGTGTATCATATGACTCTAAATCCAGAAACTCAGATCAGACATCAAGAGCCATCGTCCATCCCTCACATAAACGAGGACACCGTAATAAAGAAGAATATGTCATTAACTTCTTATTGTTCTAGGGGTGAATTGATTTCTATGAAATTAAAAAAATTACAATCAGCTTTTTTGAATTTACAGTATCACAACGAGCAAATTTAAATGAAATGAGATGTTTAAAACTTTTGTAAGAACCATCCATCCATTAACATAACTTAGAAATTTTGGATTGATTCAGTCCCTGAAAGTTTTAGATCTGTAACCACATTCTTATATTTCGCCGTTACTGAGGACAAGGGAATTCACATTTCCACACTTTCTTCACCTTTTCAACTTGAACCTGACTTCACTCCTTGGATGATTAGAATAGTTTGTGTCTTATATACCTATGTGTACTGCTATGATCAGTCCATCCTACATGTTTATGGAGGAACTCTTCCCCATGTCAGACCATCTTGTGTTTGCCTATTACCTGTTGGCACCAAGCCCTGACACCTTTACTCATTAGCAGGTGCCCAACCCTCCGCTGCTTCAAGAATTCCTTACCCACACTAGGCAGAGTGGCATCTTCAGTGACTTTTCACTGCCTTTTGCTTAGAATGCCCTCCTCTCTCTTATGTAAATCATCCCCTTTCTTTCGGGAGGCCCAATTGAGTCTCATCTCCTGCCCTAAACCCTTCCTGATCATATAACTCATAGCAGTGTTCTCTTACTTCAGATTTTTAGTGCACCTTTAGCTAATGTATTAGTCTGTTTACACACTGCTGATAAAGACATACCCGAGACTGGGCAATTTACAAAAGAAAGAGGTTTAATTGGACTACAGTTCCACATGGCTGGGAGGCCTCACAATCATGGTGGAAGGCAAGGAGGAGCAAGTCATGTCTTACATGGATGGCAGCAGGCAAAAAGAGAGCTTGTGCAGGGCAGGCTCTTAAAACCATCAGATCTTGTGAGACCCATTCACTATCACAAGAACATTGTGGGAAAGACCCACCCCCACTAAGTTCAGTCATCTCCCACTGGGTCTCTCCTACAACTCATGGGAATTATGGGAGCTGTAAGATGAGATTTGAGTGGGGACACAGAGCCAAACCATATCAGCTAAGATTACATTTTAGCATTTAATTACTCTTATCTTTTCACGGGTATCAATTTAGTCTCACAGTCTTGATCACAAGCTACTTGAGAGATAGAGTTTGTTTTGAGTCCTCCCTGGCATTTAGTATAGAGCTAAAATGCAATAGGGATTCTGTTTGATTAATTATAAGCATGACATTCTACTGTGGGTTCCATGAGATGGGATACTGTTCTTGCCTTCATTGCTGATGGATAATCTAAGACCACTAAAGCCAGAGGCTTCTGTGAAAAGAGCCTGCAGGTGTGTCCCTGGGTGCTCTCTAAAAGTAGAGGAGAGAAGTGACTCCTGGTGTGTAGAGAGCACCTTATAAAATTGCATTTTTCAGAAGGAGAATAACAAAACTTCCACAAAGCAGGGCTGCAAATGAATCCTTCATCACTCCAAGGCCCGAAATCTCTAGGGATGTGGGAAATTACTTCTCTACTTTTTCTTTTCATGTTTTAGTGAGTGGGGTGGTTCCTGGGAAATAATGGGTGGAAGCTTCTTTATTCTTTCCCTTGAATTATAATCCGTAGGTTATAACACTCACATGGGAGTATCTTCCCCATCTTCCTGTGCCCTTCAAAATACCCATCTGTCACCTAAAGCAGACAGGGCATCCTTGTCTCGGAGCCTCTGTAAGACATTGTAAGATTCTCCTCACCCCATTGGGAGGTGATTCTTCAGTGGTCCCAGTTCTTCTTTTTTTTTTTGACCCTTTTCTGCTCCTTGATCTGCACAGAAACTGCAGGGATCAGGCCCTCTGGTTCTGACAGAGGAGGAGAAGAGGACCCTGATCGCTGAGGGCTATCCCATCCCTACCAAATTGCCCCTGACAAAATCAGAGGAGAAGGCCCTGAAGAAAATTCGGAGGAAGATCAAGAATAAGGTGAGTCCTTCAAATCCAGGCACTTCTGGAGCAGAGACACAAGCAGAATCGAGTCAACATGCCCTTCCCTGCCTTCCCAATGGCCAGCACTAACCCATCCTGTGATGGAGATCAGGGCCTAGCCCTTCCCTTCTCTAGGCCCTGGGAGGACCACCCTCACCACTTACCACTCTCTTCCTCCAGCCCATCCCATTCCTCCTGAGGCCAGCAGACTCCCAAATCAATGTCTACATCGTTGGTACCCATGATGATACATTCAGGGGTGGGAGGAAGCTATTATAACTTCCCCGTTAGGGAAATTATATGATTTAATTTATAAATAAAATATCATAAAATATTTTATTTATAAATATAATAAAATATTTTAATTTATAAATATAATAAAATGGTTTTATAAAAAATTAAATAAGTAAAAGCTGAGATTTAAAAAAATAAACCTAAATTGCAGGAAAAATGCAATTTAGGTTTATTTTTTAAATCCCAGCCTTTTATTTATTTTACTTTTATTTTTATTTTTATCCTGCCTCAGCCTCCCGAGTAGCTGGAACTACAGGCATGTGCCACCATGCCCGACTAATTTTTGTATTTTTGGTAAAGACAGGGTTTCACTATGTTGGCCAGGTTGGTTTTGAACTCCTGACCTCATGATCCACCCACCTTGGCCTCCCAAAATGCTAGGATTACAAGCATGAGTCACTGTGCCCAGCAATCTCAGCCTTTTAAATTTTGGGTTTATGATATATACAATAGTTTCCTCTAGTAGACCTATGTATATGTATTTTATACATCTATGTATATAATACAGCATATATATGTGTCATATATATAAAGTACAAATACACTGAGAGCGCTTGGTTAATTTTTTTTTCTTGGTAGGGTTTTGTGATTACAAAACTTCTGCAGTGTGCTAGTCTATATTTGGACTCAGTAATCTCCTTGCCCTAGGCCCTTCAGTGCTGAACAGGGCTAAAGAAAACCAGGGGCATGGCTGAGGCACAGGCCTATCAGGAGGGAGGGGGCAAAGGGAGAAGGAAGACAAGAGCTTAGTGTCACTCTATCCATGCGCAGAACCAGCAGCGAGTTGATGTATGACCAAGCCCAAGCTGTCTTATTTTATAGATGTAGTTCAGGAGGTGCAGGAGTTCAACTCATTTATCTGAGACCACACTGATGGTTGGTGAGCCACATGTTCTGGTCTGGTTCCTCCGTGTCCACTTTTTTTCTTTTTTCTTTTTCTTTTTTTGATAACGCAGTCTCACTCTGTCACCCAGGCTGGAGTACAGTGGCGTGATTTTGGCCCACTGCAGTCTCTGCCTCCCAAGTTCAAGAGATTCTCCTACCTCAGTCTCCCGAGCACCTGGGACTACGGACACACGCCACCATGCCTGGCTAATTTTTTTGCATTTTTAATGGAGATGGGTTTTCACCATGCTGGCCAGGCTGGTCTGGAACTCCTGACCTCAAGTGATCCGCCCACTGTGGCATCCCAAAGTGTTGGGATTACAGGTGGGAGCCACTGCACCTGGCCACTCAGTGTCCATTTTACTGGGGGCCTAGTTTGTAGGAAAATAGGTGTGGGTTTGGCAGCTGGAAACCCAGGAGGACAGAACAGGTGACTAGTCGACGAACCAGCAGCTTAAACAAATGGCAAGCAGCTTGCAGAAGTGAGGAGGACTTAGGTGACTTCTGTGCTAACTATCTCCCGTCTTAACTGGCTTACTTATAGAGCTGGAAATTAATCCTGTTCCCCCCACCCCTCTCTCTCAGATTTCTGCCCAGGAGAGTAGGAGAAAGAAGAAAGAATACATGGACAGCCTGGAGAAAAAGTAAGTCTGCTGACAAGCTGTTGTGTTTATGGAGTAGTATGCACAGAGAAATGTGAGTGTGCGGCGAAGCTGGGAGAAGCAGTTAAATTCCCCTTTCAGGCTGCCTTGGAAACCCGGTGGTTTATCAGCTATATTTTTTCTGCCACCTAGTGGTTATTTGGAGGAGACGTCTATACAGTAATAAGGAAAAAAGTCATAGTGTCGTAGTAGGCGTTTGAATCACACCGTTTCCAGCCAAGGATCTCGAGTCTTCCTTTCAAACAAATACCAATATTAACATTCCTGCACGTTGCTGGAACTCCTAGGAGGAGGAGCCCTGTTTTAGCTGAAAGGATCAGTGCCACTTCCTCGGCTCCCTCTGGCCACACCCCCTCATGCTCTAGAGAGGGCACACAGGGAAAGAAGGAAAGAAGTCAGGTTGGCAGCCTTTATTTCCAGCCACTCTAATTCATGCCCTATGTGAGTGAATTTTTGGAAAAACACTTGAAGGCAATCTTTTGAAAAGTCTGTAATAACAGGCGGGCTATTAGAAAAAGGTGAATTGAAAAAGGTGAATTAAGAAAAAGACAGTTTTGTCTTAGCCCTGGAAGTTAGTTCTTCAGTGAACAAACCCAGATCTTTTTAAGATGGGCATGAGTCCCCAAGCCCAGAAATGAACTTCATGTGAATCTGGGGAAAGGAGTGGCTGGTGGTTCCTGGCTGTTTCTGGAAGTTACTATGGAAAGTTTAGTGCTTCTATCACCTGACTTTAATACTGGTAATGCAGTATAGTCAGCTCTCCATATCTGGGGGTCCAGCACTCTCAGATTCAACCAACCATGGGTTGAAAAGATTCATAAAAGAACCTCAATAGTCTGGGTGTGTTGGATCACTCTTGTAATCCAACAATCCAAGGAGAGAGGATTGCTGGAGCTCAAGAGTTCAAGACAAGCCTGGGTAACATAGCCAGAGTCCATCTCTACAAACAAATTTAAAAAATTAGCCAGGCCTGGTGGTGCATGTCTGTGGTCCCAGCTATTCAGGAGGCTGAGGGAGGAGAATCACTTGAGCCCAAGAGGTTGAGGCTGCAGTGAGCTGTGATGGTGCCACTGCACTCTGGCCTTGACGATAGCGTGAGACTCTGTCTCGAGAAACCAAAAACAAAACAAAACAGCTCAATTAAAAAAAACCACTACAACAATAAAAGTTAATACAACTACAAATACAAGATAACACATATTTACATAGTATTAACACTGGGTTTGGTATTATAAGTAACCTGGAGATGATGCATGTATACTGGAGGATATGTAAAGGTTATATACAAATACGACACCATTTTCTATCAGGGACTGGGGCATCTGCAGATTTTAGTATCCTTGGGGAGTTCTGGAACTAATCCCCCCGGAATGCCGTGGGATGACTGTGGTCCCATGCTGTCCCACCATTTTCTATGGGCATCCAGGGTCAAGATGTTTCTATGGAAATCTCTTTACTGTCTCTTTTGGGCATGCGTGCCCCAGCACCGGGATTCCTTGTCCGGGGTTCTTGTCCCCCCTCTTGCCCCATCCCTTGCTGTCTCTTCACTTCTTATCAGTCCTGGTAAGACTGCAGCCGGGAGTATCCAGATTACTGTAGAACAGGGGGAGAAGTGTGATGGGCGTTGCGCACACTAGGGAGGAGGTGACAGGAAAGAAGGCTGCAACACCCTAAAAGAGGTTCGTATTTTGTACCATCTCTATTCCTCTTTCATTATTATTATTCAGGCACTTGTCACTCAGCTCCCTCTTTTTTTTTTTTTTTTACAAGGAGTCTCACTCTGTCACCCAGGCTGGAGTGCAGTGGCATGCTCTCGGTTCACTGCAATCTCGGCTTCCTGGGTTCAAGCGATTCTCCTGCCTCAGCCTCCCGAGTTGTTAGGATTACAGGCACACACCACCATGGCCGGCTAATTTTTTGTATTTTAGCTTCACCATGTTGGTCAGGATGGTCTCGATTTCCTGACCTCGTGATCTGCCCACCTCAGCCTCCCAAAATGCTGGGATTACAGGTGTGAGCCACCTAGACCAGCACTTTTTTTTTTTTTTTTTTGAGAAGGAGTCTCACTCAGTCACCCAGGCTGGAATGCTGTGGTGTGATCTCGGCTCACTGCAACCTCTGCCTCCCAGGTTCAAGTGATTCTCCTGCCTCAGCCTCCTGAGTAGCTGAGATTCCAGACAGACACCACCATGCCCAGCTAATTTTTACATTTTTAGTAGAGATGGGGTTTCACCATGTTGGTCTCGAGCTCCTGACCTCAAGTGATCTACCCGCCTCAGCTTCCCAAAGTGCTGGGATTACAGGCATGAGCCACCGCACCCAGCCCCAGCTACCTCTATTTTTTGTTAAGTCTCTTAATCTTTCCATTCTTTCCCACACCTCTGTGGAGTAGCAGATCCCCTCCCCTCCTTTTCCTCATCCTCACCTACCCCCACCATAGCTCCTGGCTTAGTGTTTGCTCCAGGGCTATTCATTTTCTTCTTTCTCTTTCCTTCGTAGAGTGGAATCTTGTTCAACTGAGAACCTGGAACTTCGGAAGAAGGTAGAGGTTCTAGAGAACACTAACAGGTAAGTGTCAATGGAGTGGCAGTCCACAGCACTGCCAAAATGGAAGGTGAGGAAGGGAGGGGATAGAATCCAGAACCAGAGACAGCAGAAAAGTGGAGGAAGTCACAGTGAAAGCGCAGTTGTGCTGAGATGCTCAGCATAGCCAAACTCCACCCACCCACTCCTGCTACACACACACGCGCACACACACACACACACGTGCTACTCTCACGCACACACACACACACAAACACATATGCACACATACTCTCATAGTCACATCCACTATACACATAGGTGCACAATTGTGCACACACACACACACATGTACACATACATGCATATTCTTTACTTTTCCTAAATGATATAGGATTGAAGAAGAAGCTGATCATGACAAGGACTATTGCCAGGGAGTTAAAAAAGAGGCTTAGAGGAGAATAAGGTCAACAAGTCTGATTCTCCTGAAAATGACATCAAAATTTAGAGGTAAACAAGAAGGCACTGGCCACTTCATTGTAATCCAGTTTTAGTAACAAATGATACTTATTAGTTTAAAAAAAGAGAAAATCATTGTTTTTAAATTAGTTTTTAAAAATTAGTTTATTAATTGCATTTCAAACCCATTTAAAATAATAATTGCACCAAGTTGATAAATTCTTCCAGCACTTGCTGTGCCAAGCGCTGTTTTAAGCACTTTACAGCTATGAACTCATTTAAACCTATGAGGTGGCATTATTATGATTATCATTATATGGAGGAGATAACCGAGGTCCAAGGTCACACAGTAAATGCAAAAGCTGCATTTGAACCCAGGCAGTCTGGCTCTGGAGTCTTTATATGGGAGGAGTATATGGAGATTTATGCCTGGGTCATATACAAGACAAAAGGGTGAAGGTGAGGTTAAGAAACTGGCTTTTTGGGAGTTTCATCCAGAACGGATGTGTTCGTGTGCTCACACGATGCGTACCTGTCTGTGACAATGATTTCTTAGTCAGAGAATCCTGTCACCCTGAGTGTTAGAGAGCCAACTAATTCAGCAGAGAAAAATGGACTCACTGGGTAGACAAAAATTTAATCAGATTAAGGGTCAGCGTTAATGCCCAATGACAATTGTGTGAATATTAAGGGATCAGTTTAAATCTCTTTGCATGTTATTTGATAATAACAAATGAATTTAATTCCCATGTCCTGATTCTTCATGGTTTGTTGCTCAAAAAGCAGGCCAATACACACAGAAGCTAAAACTACCGTCAGTGGGATCCCACTGCAATTTCCTCCGCTTTTCTGGAAACCTGTGCTCAGATAGCACTCAGGAACAGTTCACCCCAAGCGCTCTGTCAGACAGACGGCCCAAAGGGAGGAGGTGCCACCAGCCTAGCGTGGCATTCCCTTGGTCTTGTGAGGCAAGGGAGCTGGTTTCGCTGCTCGCCCTTGGCCATTAGTCTCCTGAGCCTTGCTCTTTTTTTTTTTTTTTATCTCCACTTTCACTCCCCTGCGGGGATTGCCTGGGGCGGCTCTGGTTCTCTGGGTACCGCTCCTCCTGCCAGCACTGTATCCTTGTCTTTAGCATCCTGAGCAGATAGGCGTTCCCGCACCCATCCTGGCAGTTGTTCCCGCAGAAGCCCCACGTTCATGGGTGGGTGGGGCACATCCTGGCCAGGAACTGGTGGAAAAGGGAAGAGCAATCTGTCAAAGACCACCTTGGAGTTTGTGTTGTTTCGTCCTCTGCAGGCTGTCAGGCCTCCCCTTGGCCACATGGGGGCAGCAGAGGCACAGCAGGGATGTGTTGGGGCGAAGTGGGGGTGGGTGAGGGAGAAGGACCTACCGGCCACCTTTCCTGGGAAGAGTCTCCCCTCCCCTCCCCTCCCCTCTCCTGGTAGACTGTGTTGATTGATCCCTTCCCTTCCTTTTCTCCTTCCCTCTTTCCCTCCATCCTTCCACATTTTTATTTTTGTTTGCTTGTCTGAATCAGATATCCAAATGTTGTACAGGACCGAGCACAGAAAGTCAACCCCAAGACAAAAGTATGCCAAATTGCAGGGTATTTATTGCCGGTGGCCACGGAGGACTCGCGTCTCTCCAACCCATGGCCCCCAAAGGAGAGTGTCAAGACCCCTTTATACCCGTAAAAATCACCTTGGGCATGAGGGAGAGGGGCGGGGGGCAGCGGTGAGGGGGTTCCGGACATCCCAGTGGATTCCTGGACGAAGATGGGGTGAGGGGCTCCGGACATTCTGGTGCATTCCTGGGCGAAGATGGGGTGAGGGGCTCCAGACATTCTGAGGGCCAGGGGCCCTTTTTGACATTCTGGTTGTTACTTAAGTGATTCACAAAAGTCAAGATTAGCATTTGTTTACACATTGTCTGGGTAAGGTGGCGATTATAATCCTTTATTGCTCATTCACATTTGGGTTATAGAGAGCAGTTTAAACAGAGAGCCGAGGTATGGTTGAGGTATGCAGTTTTATGGGGCTTTTTACCATGTCACACAAATAAGGTCCATGTGTTCAAACTGTCTGCTATGTCCGTTACATACCTCTTTGTAAGTTCTCTTGCATGCCTCTGCTTGTTATTTAGTAAAGACTGCGTCAGTTGTCCTATAGAGCCTTCCGTGGTCTCGGTGTACTTATGATATCCTTGCGGTGTGTGTTAGCACAGTCCTACGCCCACTGCAGACTCTACTTGGTTTGGTTTTGGTTTTGGGTAAGAAGTCTTCATAGTTTCCACTACACGCTTCCCTCAGAAGGAACATAAAAATCTGTTATTTGGTCCTCAACAATTTATAGTTATTGCTAGAGAGATCAATACATTAGGGGTTTGAAAGTAGCTTTATAGAATTCAGTCATTTCTCCTCCAGTTATTAGCAGAATATTTTCCTAAAGCAAGACTCTTCATCGTTAATGAACATGAGTGTGCAGGTAACTCCAGGAGATGCTGATTTCATTGTGTTTGGATATCTACCAGCAGAGGGATTGCTGGGTCATATGGTGGTTCCATTTTTAATGTTTTGAGGAACCTCCACACTGTTTTTCATAATGGTTTCATTAACTTACATTCCCACCAACAGTGCGAAAGGGTTCCCTTTTCTCCGCACCCTTGCCAACCCTTGTCACGTTTTGTCCTTTTTTAATGATTCTGCTAACAGAGGTGATGTCACGTGGGGTTTTAATATGCATTTCTCTGAGGACTAGTGGCAGTAAGCACCTTTTCACATACGAGTTGGCCATTTTTATGTCTTCTTTAGAGAAGTGTCTATTCAGGTTCTTTGCCCATTTTTAAAAATTGGGATTTTTAATTTTGCAATTGAGTTGCATGGGTTCCTTATATATTTTGAATATTAACCCCTCATGGTTTATATGGTTTGCAAACATTTTCTCTCAGTCCCTGGGCTGCCTTTTCATTTTGTTAATGTTTTTGTTGTTGTGCAGACGCTTTTTAGTTTCATATAGTTCTACTTGTTTATCGTATGTTTCAGACTTCAGGAAGATACACACATAATATGTGCCCCTTGTAAAAATAATTTAGAAAAAAGAAAAACTAGAATCCTTTCATTCAGAGGTGTCTTTATGTTTTGGAATATTTTATGTGCATGTATTTATATTGTGCATACTTCTTTGTTAAGAACTGTTTCCACATAACGAAACACAGTGGACATATTCTCATACATTTTTACCGGATCTTTGACTCACCATTAAAAATATTCTACCTTGGCCGGGCAGTGGCTCATGCCTATAATTCCCACACTTTGGGAGGCCGAGGTGGGTGGATCACCTGAGGTCAGAAGTTCGAGACCAGCCTGACCAACATGGTGAAACCCTGTCTCTACTAAAAATACAAAAAATTAGCCAGGCCTGGTGGCAGATGCCTATAATCCCAGCTACTCAAGAGGTTAAGGCAGGAGAATCACTTGAACCTGGGAGGTGGAGGTTGCAGTGAGCCGAGATCGTGCCATTGCACTCCAGCCTGGGCCACAGAGCTAGCCTCCTTCTCAAATAATAATAATAATCTAGCTCATGCTATTAGGATCCGAGCCTTCCCTTGCCAGGGTGATATTACTGAATGTGACCAGGGCTAGCCTAGCCACCTGTTAAAGCAGGGAACGTTTTTTTCTGTTTGTTTATGTATTTCATTGTCAGCGTTATTAAGGTATAATTGACAAAATTACATGTTTTTACAGTATACAATTTAACGATTTGCTGTATGTGTGTGAAATGATTATCACAATCAGGCTAATTAACACATCTGTCACTTCACATAGTTACTTTTTTTCTTTTTCTTTTTGATGCACATACTTAAGAGCTACTCTCTTACCACATTTCAAGTATATCATATGGTATTTTAAATTATAGTCACCATACTGTAAGAAGATCCTCAGAATGTATTTACCTTATAACTGAAAGTTTGTTCTTTGACCAATTCCCCTACTCCCAGCCCCTGGTGACCACCTTTCTATTCTCTTGTTTCTTTGAGTTTGAATTAAAAATTTTTTTTTTAGATGTAAGTGATATCAAATACTTGTCTTTGTCTGGCTTATTTTACTTGCAAAGAGGGCAAGTTTGTTGATGTTCTTCCCTCCTTGGCCTCCTTCCCTTGACTCTCAGGAGCCCAATGGCTCCTTCCATTTCTTCTGCCTCTCCTCGTGGACTACACGTTTATGGTAGTAATAGCTGGCAATGGATTTGTCTATGATCTTCCCACAGATAATTGTAGCAGGGACTTCCTAAGGTCATAATATTTAAGACCAGTAGCTTTTAATGTATTTTGACTTGAGAGGGAAAGAAATAAAAGCAGGGCTGCTGCCGCTGAAACAGGGGAAATGGACCTGGAGTTCCTCTAACTGCTCTTCCCCCTTTGTCTCTTGCCAAGGCCTCGGTGGTACTCAGAGAACACCACACTAACCAAAATGAGTATGATGTGAGCATTGGCGGTGCCCTGCTCTAGGGCCAGCCATGGGGGGCTGGTGATTGGGGTGCTGGGCAAGGGAAGACTTTGAGATCCTTTACTCCCATTGCCCCGTGCAG